AACTATTGCATTTTTATTAATAATCCTGTCGGCTGCCCAGCTTGCGGATGTTAATATAATATATTAAAATCCAATTTCCTATATATATATATATATATATATATATATATATATATATATATATTACGCTGTGGCTCCCGACCCGAAGAGAGACTTAAGTTACTTTTCCAGAGCTATACCAATAAGTGGGTACTAAATTTTAAAAATCACTTTTCTTCCTGTACCTAAAAACATAACAGAGCGTGATTATTTAAATGGTAAAGTTTGAGCGAGAAGGCTGGAACATCAATCACAGTTTGAAAGATAGGAAATGAACAAACCGAAGCTGCTCCTGATTTTATATACTGGTATGGTTTCATGTACGGCCTTTGTTATGCATTTACGTGATTGACGTTCACGGGACTCCATACACTCGACTTTGTGCAGGAAGTTGTGTAGTCATTTTTTTGCAGACTGTTCAAACATGTTTATTAAAAAAATTTCGGAACACGGAAAGTCATGTTTGTATTATGAAATCCGGTAAAATTAGTTTAACATTTTAAATGTACAGTTAAGGAAAATGGTAAATATTTATGTACAGTTAAGGAAAATAGTAATTTCCATTTGAATAATCCATTGTAATTGTTAGGAGACATTCGGGTTTTGGTAATAAAATTTATTTATTTTTAAACTCAATAATTCTACATTCCTGCTATTTATCATTCTTTCTACGCACATTTTATTTATGCAAACCATTAAAATATTTAATAAATAAAATTAATTTTGAAATAATTTAAATAATTTGTTTAATAAACTACATTTAATTAGTTGTTATGGATAAAATGATATATTTAAATGAAATATATAGACATTTAATACTAAAATAATTATAAATTTTGCATAATTTTGCAAATAAAATTGTTAATAACCCTCTTTAATGCATTTGCCTTTTTATGTGATTTTTTGTTACCTGGGCAATTTGAATTAAAATATTTATTCTTACTATAAATTAAAGCCATTAAAATTTTAAACTAAATTGAATTTTGTGCTTATGAAAAGAAATTCACTTTGAATGCGTTTATCAACATTTTAGTTTTCATCATTTGTAGAGCAAACAGTAAACTTTTTTTAACTTAACACAGCATTCCCTTTTAATAGTTTTTAAACAACATTCCCTTTTAATAGTTTTTAAACATTTGGGGGAATCTGCTGTACACATTTTTGGCCAATATTTCATAATAAGTTAAAATGGATTTATCGGCTTTTGCATGTTTGCTCCATATTCGTTTTATGAAATAACTACCCAATATCAACTTATTTCAATATATAAAAATCCAATAAAATATGAAAACGGCATAAACTTAGTAATAGTAGATAAAATACTTACAAAAATAATATACACTCGAGGGCAATAGTAAAACATTTCGGGAGTAAATTTAAAATGTACCTAAATAATTTAATGATAGGTACAAAGTTTTATTTTAAAAAATCATTAACTAATGGCACATTTAGACCAAGGCGGTAAAGTGCCATTTTTCCAGACTCAAAATTGTTCATCAAGATAAACAGTAATTTAAAATTACGCCTCTCAAAGAGTTTCTTATTTTCCAAAGCGTTATCATTTAATTCATCTTGTTTCGCTGCACTGGAAAATCATCACCTTGGGACAAAGAAAAAAGGAGTCATTTGCCCATCAAAAAGCCGTCTCATTATGTACGCCCTTGTATACGTATCCATATCCGGCCTAATGCAATACATTATCCCCATACATAATACCGTAATATATATGTTACGCCGGAGGGTGTATCCATTACTGATAACGAGACCGATCTTATCGGGCATTATTAAGATGCATGAGCCAAAAACCACTTATTTTTGTCGCCAACACGACCGCAATGTGTATATACGAGTACATATCTTCTGCATCTATTAATATTGCAAGAGTCTGACAAGAGTAGTCGGTTTTTAATTCAAAATGTTACTTGTTGTTCTTTGAAATTCTGTTTTGTGTTCATCGTAAATAAATTATAGTATGTAACTTGTACATACATAATATACTATATATATAAAGAGTGTTTAATAAAATGCAACAATACAATTTACGAAATACGAAATACGAAAATACGAAATTTGGTGCAAAACCTTTAAAATACTGTATTCATTAATATTTTTCACAGAAACGAGTCTTTCGGGTTTAAAACACATGTTTGAAATATTATATCTTTTTATAAATAAGCATTTTTAAACTATAAAACTATTGTTGGGACGAGAAAACACATTTTTACAACAAAATTGAAATTAATTTTTTTTTTACTAAAAGTACTGCACTAATGCAAGAATTTTAGGAAATCATACATTTTGAATATTAGAGCTTCACGGAAGATAGGTTCACGGAGGTTAGGATTTCGTGTTTTTATTAACATCCCTTTGTATATTTGAAATAAGGTATTGTATCTTTTGACACCTTAATATTTTTAAAAAATACAATAGTACATACATAAAATATTTATAAAAAAAATCTTCACACTTCACGGTGGAAAGGTTTTAAATAGCAAATTAATGAACTTAAACTTTTGAGTTATAAAACAGCAACACTCTCATCTGCATATAAATTCTAACTGACCTTCAGGAATCACATGCATGTATAATGCCGTAAACAGAGGTTTTTGCTTATTTAAAATGATAAAAGCGCCATCTGTTGCATACAATTCAAAGCAAAAACAGATTCACGGAGGATATAATCAATTTTTGTAACACCTACATAAATGGTTATACAATTATTTCTTTTAATTTTTAATAATATTTTGTATTTGATTCGATTGCTTTGGATGTGTTTAATTTACTTAGTGAACTGATATTATTAGTATGCTTTTACTACCTCAGATATTTGAAAACATATAGGTTAACCTAGAAAGAGTAACAGTCACGGAGGATAGGTTTTAGACTTTTAAAACATTGTTAAAAATAATTAATTGCGGTTAAAAATTTGGAATCTAGTATTAGTATTTTTAACAACTTAAGACATTTTAAAGTTTTACTTCATGTAATAAAAAAATTCCTATTAGAATTCTTAGCATTGGAGAAATTTTTGTTATATTTAACAATAAACTTAAAATCCTTCTATTTTGCTGGAGGGACTTTTTAATAGTTGGCAAGTAATTTCATTAACGACAATGGGGGATGTTTTTTGCCGAAGACATATTGGCAAAGTTTAAATATAAATCCGGAAAGTGCAATTTTCCAAGCTGGGCAGCAAAAGATAACGATCAACTGCTGGCGGGGCAATTCTTTTTGGTCGACGGCCCGCACTAATACGCCTCTGTACGTACGTATTACTTATTTGCGACGCTGTCCCTCGTTATATTTGTCGTTCTGTTGTTCCCAACTTATTTCCGACTGACCAAGTTTTTCTATTTAACAGAAGAACAGACACATTTCAACTTGAAAACTTCAGCTATCGTTGTAATTAATGTCCTTAATTCTAGCTATTCCAGGTAACAAATCATGAACGTAAGGAATTAACCAGGTTTCATTAAAGCTTGTTTTTGTGCTAAGTTGATTAATTAATTAGTTACGAAACTATCCGAATAGGTACAAAGAACTTGTCTCGACGAAGAAAATACAAACTGCATAATCAGCGAGTCGAGCGCGCAATTCATAGAAATCTAAACGCATAAATTTCTCGCTCAACAAAGCCCTAAACAAGTTTTAAAAAAGCAACCGGAAGGAAGAAAGCGGAAAGAATGCCACCCCACCAGCCACATTATGCAAAATAGGCTTGAAAATGCGGGATTGTATTGCGACGATTACATTTTCTAGAACGGGACGGTACCAAGATAGCGACATTGCCTCAAACAGGTTTCCGCTATTTCTCTACAAGGTATTGCTTTAATAACTGTAATACAACGAGAGCGGGCGGACAGAGCTGTAACATGTGCACACACAGAACACCAAAATAAGCCCGAAAAATCTATTTTTGTTAAAGTGATTTCCAATAGTGACTAAATTACAGCGGGAATGTAAAAAACGTCCTATTGGAAGTACCTATTATATGAAGATAGAAAAAAGTGTATTGCAGTAATCGAAAACCCAAGTTGATCAACATTATAATGTGAACATCACCATCATGTCAATACTTTCCATGTTTATTTACATATGGATATAGTGAGTAAACATCAAAATAACATACTTGTTCGTTTTCATCTGAAACTTTACTTTACTTCAATAAATTAACATTATTTAATATCATCAAGTTTCAGATGAAAACGAACGAGTATGTTATTTTGATGTGTGCTCATTATATACATATGTAAATAAACATGGAAAGTATTGACATGATGATGTTCACATCAGTATACCTACGGTATAAATGCAATAAAAAAAGTACGTTCCTTATGTAAAACCTGTGTGTATACAATGAACCAAAAGCAATCTCTTGAAATTATAAAAAAAACATTTTTTTGTGCACACACAGAACACCAGCGTATTTGAATTTAACCTTAAAATAAGCCCGAAAAATCTATTTTTGTTAAAGAGATTTCCAATAGTGACCAAATTGTGTGGGAATGTAAAAAACGTCCTATTTGAAGTACCTATTATATGAAGATAGAAAAAAGTGTATTGCAGTCATCGAAACCCCAAGTTGATCAACATTATAATGTGAACATCATCATCATGTCAATACTTTCCATGTTTATTTTCCATGGATATAATGAGCAAACATCAAAATAACATACCTGTTCGTTTTCATCTGAAACATTACTTTACTTCAATAAATTAACATTATTTGGCTTCTTTTTAATATCATCAAGTTTCAGATGAAAACGAACAAGTATGTTATTTTGATGTGTGCTCATTATATCCATATGTGAATAAACATGGAAAGTATTGACATGATAATGATGTTCACATCGGTATACAATGAACCAAAAGTAATTTCTTGAAATTATAAAAAAAACATTTGTTTTATTCATACTTTCAGTACTATGCGCGTTGTATTATTTTTAGTATCATACACTCACCAGAAATGCCATCATAAGTCCACCATTCTTCCCAGCTAACGGCCGTGGCATCTAAAAAAATCACAAATATTTAGCAAATAAAAAAAAACTTTTCGATACAATAAATTTGTGTGTATCGCTTCGGGGTAACAAATTCGTCGGCGTTAACATCGCCGTTGTTTTTTATCTGACCGCCGCGGTGCACCGTATAGAAAAAGCCCGGTATTTATCGGGCGGTATGACAAATTGGCGAACAAAAAGCAGACGAGCCGGGCGCGATAATCCGGATTAAAAATGAGATACGTGCGCTCTCTGCGAGCGACGCGTGTCGGCGGTCGGAAGTAATCCAACCTAAAACCCGGTAAAATATTGGCTTAAACTCTCACTCCTCGCTCCCATGCTTTTCGTCTATGAATTCGATCATTTACGTGCATGTATGTTTATGCACACATGCTTTATTGGCATTTTTTGTTGTCCAAACCGTTTTTATGTTTTTATTATATACGGGTCATTCCACCAAATACATTTTTCTTGGGGTCTGACCCCCGTGGATATAGGTATTATAATTTTTTTTTAGATATACAGGAAAAGATATAGATATCTTCTAAACATTGTAAACAAGATATCTTTGAAAAGATATCTTACGCTAGTTATTATTAGCTATTAAACAAAGTAATATTTAGCAATTAAAATATTTTTTTCACTGATAATAAACCTAGGGGAAATTTATAAGTTTCGGTCAAACGAAATGACCTTTGGCTATCAAAATATAATATCTGATATAGGAGAGAGGCAATAAAGCAAGTGAAGATTTTTAAGAGGCAATTAAAACGGCCGACGACAATGGGTTATAATGAAATCTGCCGGTATCCGGCAAGTGGTGGACAATATATCCGACGGCGAAAAGCAAAAGATAAAAAGATGAAAGATATATAAAAGGTCTGGCGTGAGTTTGGACTCTCATAATAACGTTCTCAAAATGTTAAATGGTTTTATATAATACAAGTATAATTTATATTGCTTTTATTATATAATTTTGTGCCTTGTATTGTAAATGGCATCTAAAGTATGCACTGTTATAAAAATCAGACGGCGTGTACATTCGTTTCTAGCTAAATTTGCCAAGCCAGTTTTTATATAAACTTTACAATAAATAACTATTTATTTAAATGTACCTTACTTTACTTACCTCCATTTTGTTGGAATTTTTTTTAATAATTTTTTTATGAACATTTTATGTAAATTTTCTATTTGGGTACAACATTACTTCAATAAATTAACATTATTTAGTTTCTTTTTAATATCATTAATTTTCAGATGAAAACGAACAAGTATGTTATTTTGATGTATGCTCATTATATCCATATGTAAATAAACATGGAAAGTATTGCAAGTAAATGCAATAAAAAAACGTACGTTTTCCTTATGTAAAACCTGTGTGTATACAATGAACCAAAAGCAATTTCTATTTTGTCGTAATTTTTTGTTAATAATTTGTTTATGAGCATTTATGAGCACTTTGCAAAGCGCTCGAGCATCTGCCATCTATGGTTAAAATTAACAAATATTTTTTTAATGTGTGGTAATACTTTGTCATAAAAAAACAAACAGGACAAAAAGCTTTGCCGTCATTGGTGTGGATCCAATCAAGAGCGCGTAAGGCATGAATTACAAGTAAAACATTTTCGATGACGTTTTGTTTTTGTTTCAAGTTTAGCTGACAGTGTGCAAAATGTTTAGCGAAAGAGTGGCTGAAAATCGCCAATCAATTTGAGTTTTCGCCTTCGTGTTAACGCTCGAACGAGCAAGTTGCATTAAGGGCGTTAAAACTAAAATTAGCCCAACAATTTATACACAAAAGCGGGTCGATACGGCGAGAGCCGGCAAAAAATTAATTACCCAGTCGAATTGATTGAAAATTTTGAATTGCCAAAGTTAAATGAAGTATGGCGAGAAGGCAGAAGCGAGAATGGCGCCATGTCGAACTAATGTCTACTACTACTTACCTTAAGACTTTAAATCTCGGAAAAGTACACTCATAAGCAAAAGTGGTGCATTTTTTTATATCAAGAACAAAATATTATTTTTTGTTATTATAATTTGTAGTTTTTGTCATTATAAAAAAATGTACATAAAAAATTTAAAATATTGAAATGCCAATCATAAAAATTCTCGTACTAAAATGTAAAAACTTTTATATGTCAATTATGAAATTGGACATTGAAAAATATCTAAAATCGACAACAAATCATAAATTTTTTACTTGTTTATAATTTTGCATTAAATTGGACAAGTTAAGGTAGTTTCACCATTTGAGAGTTTATAAATTAATAACAGTAGGTCATGAGCTTTCCGTTAAATATATACAACATGGTTTTAGCTTTATATTTTTACGAAATTAATAATAATTTGACTTTCTATATAGACTACTGAAAATTATTAAACGCTTAAAAAAGAAACTTTTAATTGCAATTGAACAGTATAAAATGTCAAAAATTGTGATCATGATGAATTATTGTGTTTTTAATAGTAAATAAAATTCAAGAACTAAATCGTTGCATTTTAATGTTCTGCCAAAGGATTCAATTCTTATGACATGAGTTCTTTATTGCTAATTTGAAAAAAGTTACAAAAAAATAATTTTATACCTTAAATTTAATTTGGTCGAATTTTACTTTAGATAGTTGGTATCACAGTCATTGGTTTGACAGTTAATGTCAAAATCGATTCGCCATGCCGTCCTTAATTTACTTATTTACAATAAGCGGCTGTTAATGTTAAAGAAGAAAAAAAGGATTTTCTTTGGTGTTAAACAAAATTTATTGCCAGAAAAGTCTCGTAAGTACCTACTAGAAAAATTATAAAAATATTATAACCAATACGCAAAATATTATGCTGCTATAAAATCAAAATTTTGGGTATAAAGGGGTTATAATGAAGTCATTATGAACGCAAAATAGATAAACATTTTTAAAATATTAATTCTAAAAAGATGTTGTGAAATAAAAATAAATTAAAATTGAACAATTAAAAATGACCAAAACAAAATTGGACATAATAATTGTAAAAAATGTAACATTTTTTAAATTATTAAAATTATGCTTTTTTTAAATGTGAATAACCTAAAACTTTAATTAGACAGTTTAAAAAGACAAAAATTACTTTTTTTATATTCTAAATTTTGAAATTCACAAATTAAACGTCATAAAGAAGAACACAGCCTGTTACGGTCTTAGTAGACCTCATCAGTACCAGATAGCCATGGTGTGTAAACACACCCAAAACACGCCACCAAGAGCTTTATATAGGCAAACAGGTACAGCGACAACAGTGAGATGTAATACTTTTATACATTTATACAAACATTTGCAATACTTTTGTAGACGTGTGTACTCACCTACCTAGTGCGGGGGTAGGCAAAACTCCTAAATCTCCTAAAAGTATATTAACGGCAATTACTTGCAACACCTGCTAAAATTGCAGACGCGGCGCAGATCGAAGGGACTTTTAAAAATGACACCGATATTTTCTCGATTAATGGATCCGTTGTCGCGAGTAATGACTTCATAATGCCCCCGAATTATTTCATGCCCTCGACGCGGAGCCTCTATTATTCACTCAAACTTCCGTTTCCGGATTAAGTCGGGCTTTCATCTTAAATGTCCCATAAATCTTTTCGCAGAAGCATAAAACCTTTTTTTCGATACTGAAGCATTTTAAAAAGATGCTAAAAGTGAAAATGATTATTTTTGATTTTTGGTTGTTTCACTGTCAGTCTAGAATGGGGTTTTTGGGAAGCCACCAGGTCTGGTAATAACCTAACATAAGTGGTTCTGCACTAATGCAAGAATTTTAAGAAATCATACATTTTGAATATTGGAGCTTCACGGAGGATAGGATTTTGCGAAAAAATGACGTCTTATGACATTAGTTCTTTAATATACTATTTAATTCTAAAGAGCATGGTAAAACTAAAAACTTTTATTGTATTTTTCACTTAACATTCGATACACTGCCAGCCAATGGGCAAAAAATACGTAAATGTCCGTTGAACGACGCGTCGTTCAAGAGTCATTCCGACCCCCTGAATTAAGAAGGTCGGGACGTGCTAGCGATAAGAACGCTCGTTTTATATTACGTAGTAAAGTGTAACATAGGGTCCTTTATATTATTTATACGGCTGTTCCTCTTGCAACGCAAGTGATTGATTTCCACATGGGCTCTACCCAAATATCCAAAGTAGAATGGATGAGTTTGTAGTTTGTTAATTTTATTTGGTAAAATTTTAACATAATTTTTTGTAAAAGAAACAATATTTTAGGTCAATAGTAAATATATGCTTTTGTAGCAAGACAAATTTTCTTTCTTAGAAAGTTTCTTAGCTTTTCAACTAAGAGATGCAGTTTTATTCTTAAAATCCCATTTTTTTGAGCAAAAAATCGTTTTCTTCATTCAAAAGAGAAATATCTGCCAAAGAAATATTTTTGGTTCTTGTATCAACACAGAAAAAACGCTAGCATAGCATGAATCGGTGAGCCAATAAACCAATGGGATCTTGTAATCCGTATTCCTGAATAACAGTTCCTATAATACCAATAGGTAGATAGCACTTGGTATATAATCGTTTACGTTTATAAATTAACCACAAAAGTTATCGCTCCTAAATCTATTGATATTTATTTCATTTTATGTTAGAATGTTATTGCATTAAATACTAATTTGATTTATTTAATAACGTTACTATAGTATGTATACTATGTATATATTTAACGCAATAAATTCTTTGACATTTAGGCAAAATATTTTGATTTAATAGTAATTAATTGAGCAAATAACAATTTAGATTGCTTCAATTTGAATGCATTCAATGACAGCGCTGTTCTTGGTACTATGTTAGATTTTTTTATATGAAGAAAGAAAGAAATGAATAGATTAATCTCTCCCCTACAGTATTTTTAAAAAATTGATGTAAAGATAGTTTCTGATTTGGATTAAGAAACATAGCTCTTGGCCCTATACAAATCAAAGTGATTTTCATTTCTTTTAAGAGATTATTTCCCTCGTTATAATAT